GTTAACAAAGTGCCCGTAAAATTTATCAGCCGGACAAAAATTGAAAGTCTTGTTTCTTTAATTATATTTTTGGTTACTGGTTCAATCCGCTTAATAATCCAACCTCAATCGTCCATTGGAGCGGAAAGAGGCCCTATAGCCCGGAACAGGCTGGGAACCCTACGAAACAATGACCGCGACTTTAACAGGAACGTCCAAACAAAGCTAAACGATAAACAGACCGTGACAGATGTTATAGTCAACCGGCAAAACCATGCAGCACTTCCCAATGATGCGTAACGAAAGAAATGGAATCAACCGATCGTGAACTGATCACTGATTTAGTTGTCTTAAGAGTTTATTGTGTATTAGAAGTCAACTAACTACGTCACTTATTGAAGGTTATTTTTTTTTCGCCCGTCTTATTTTTAGTATTACAGTTAGGGTAAACTACGTGAAGCACTTTCCATTACACAGAGGTTATTTAATCGTTTTTGTGAAGTAAAGATTTTCTAAAATACCAAATGGAATGTAATAACTAAGTTTTCAGGCTTAGTTCTATAAAATTCCTGGATGATGTATTCCGTCGGTCTAGTCAATAATCCTTTATGAACAGCTACTTTCCCAAAAATATCTCTTCACATGATCCTAGGAAAATAGAATGCAGAGATACATTGCATTTCTCAATAATAACACTTTGCTAGTGTCCAAAGTCTTCTTGATTCTTGAAGTCTGAAAACTTGCGAGAAATCTTGCAAAATATATTTAATTTGTGGTATTAATAAATTTCAAATGGAAGGGTATCAATCGTCATACTTCAAGAAATGGTGAATTAACTGCAGCAACATTAGAAAGTCTTACCGGAGTATTGTGCCACGAGGATTGTAGGGTTCGTCGTCGTCGTTTTCGTCAGGTCCTCGTCGAGTGCTGTGCTGATGCGGGTCTTGGCAGTGCCTCTGGTGTGTCGCTCTTTTACGCTTATTTCTCTTCTTTTTTGTGTTTTTTGCTGTTGAGGTATTGTTTCTTCTTCCCAGCAACAAGAAGACCAAAGTAAAAATGAAAATTAAGGCCAAAAAGACCAATTCTGCCTCAGAAAACGCCATTCGGTCCTCTTATTTTGTAATCGAGTTGCGCAAACTTTCAACTTCTTCTTTGAAAGTAAAAATTGAAACTTGCAAGGCCTTATGTAGCAGGGTGTTTGCATTTTCAATTGAGCAAATGAGCCTGAGGTATAAATTCTAACCAATCATATCAGTGACGTTGACATGTTTTTGATACGACCCGCGTGCAGCTGGTTTGAGTTTAAGTTTAGTATTTTGAACCATATTAAATGAATGGAATGGTTTACCCAATCATATTAGAGAATCAAACAGTATTGCAACTTTTAAAAAAAACGTTGTAAGCTTTATTAACTGGATAACTAGAACATTTATATTTCTATTTGTATATATTTTTCTTATATTTTAATTAGTGGGGGCATCTCTAATATGGCGCATTGGCGTTTTTGGTTGTCTCCTTCTCCACAACTTTTTTTTTTCTTATAGTAGTGTTAGCTTATTTCATTATTTGCTTGTAATGTAGTGGAGTGAATCTGTAATAGATAAAGTACAGCTGAAGGTTGGCCTACTCTCTAACATATTGCTTTACTTGATTGTGTAGTAGGCAATAAAATGTTCGGAAACGAGGAAAAACAAACAACTGACAATTGCAGGAAACAAGTTCCGCGTTAGAACACCGTTGCGTCACGTTACAAATTGCTTTTTTCGTAAAACACACCTACAATGTATGGCCCGAACAAAAGCAGACTTTTCTCCACTTTAACTGAATTTTGAATTAACATCCCTATTTAGTGGCTGGCGAAAAAAAGAACAAGAAGAACAATAACCGCAACTTAAACTACGAAAATTTGAAACCCAGCGTGATGGAGTGTGTGATTAGAATATTTATGAATTTTGTACTATTGTCTAGTGATTACATCGTTAGTTTGGATCTCAATGTACCATAACAGTTAACAAGAATTCAGGCTTTCTAAATCGCATTTTTAACAAAGGTGAGAACATTCGTTTACTCTCATATTTGTTCGCTGGACGACATCTTGTTAACGACGTTAGCACTAACATCTTAACAGTGTGGAGACCATTTCAATGGTCTCTCTTGGAACTGAAAAACCTACAATAAAGAATCGCTGTGGCTCTATGGCCGGTAATCGGTCAAGGTTTTCAAAATACTAAATGACCGGCAGTCCTGCCTTTTCAGTAAGTTTCACAAATCGAAAAAATCCAGCTAAACCAAACTATCATATGTCGATTAAGAAAAGTCAAAGTCAAAGTCCTGAAATGCTTTATACCGATTTATAGATCGGTCAAGAATAGCGTTTGGTTCACACTGAGCTCAGAAGACGAAACCATGGTTTGAGACACTTAGAACTCTTTTTCAGCTCGACTGCCGGTCAAAATTTTCAAAACACTAAATGACCGGCAGTCATTAACACATATTCTCAGGAAATTTCACAAAATCGAAAAATACCAGCTAATCTAAATTATCATATGTCGATTAAGAAAAGTCGAGCGATCCTCAAATGCTTTATAGATCTCAAGTATAGCGTTTGGTTTACGCTGGGCTCAGATGTTTTGTGACACTAATAGAACTTTTTTCAGCTCGACTGCCGGTCAAGGTTTTCGAAACATTAAATGACCGGCAGTCCTATATTTTCCGTAAATTTCACAAATCGAAATAATCCAGCTAATCTAAACTGTTATATTTCGATTAAGAAAAGTCAAGCGAAATGTACGGAGAATATAGGACTGCCGGTCATTTAGTGTTTTCAACACCTTGACCGGCAGTAGAGCTGAAAAAAGTTCTAAGTGTCACAAAATGTGGTTTCGTTTTCTGAGCCCAGTGTAAACCAAACGCTTTACTGACTTTTCTTTATAAGCCAAACGCTATACTTGAGATCTATAAAGCATTTGAGGATCGCTTGACTTTTCTTAATCGACATATGATAATTTAGATTATTGACAGCCATTTC